CCATACGGCTGATGTTGCTTCACGGGGAATACTTCTCTCCCAAAATCTGCATCGAGCAGGGATTAACAGGCATTGTTCAGCTGATTTGCCTCAGCGTAGTGCTTCCTGTTGAGTTGAGGTTTTCTGTAAGACTGCTTTGGCAGTGTATATATATATATATACTACACACACACAGAAAGAAAGACATCACAAGGTGTGATCCTACCCTCACATCTAGGTAGAACCTGCTGTCCCAATTCACAGTAACCTGTTATACATTAAATCATAGTGAGACGGTATGCAGATTTGATGATTCCTTTTCAGTCCAGGCACCTCTCTGGCATTCTCCCCCATGCAATTTTCTCTCCCATTTTCTATTAGTGGAGTAAAAGAAGAACTCTTGCTTCGATTGTCCCAAACCACTGAGAGAGATCAAGATGAAGGGCGCTCCTCTAAATCGGTGTAATCCCACTGGTATGAGACCAAATATATGCACCTCTTGATTAAAATTGGTGCCGGGGTGTTACCTGGCAGTGTAATACAGCTACCCAACTACATATTTGAACCAAGCTATTCCTGGTGGTTATGCAGAAGGTTCATTTGACAGTACCTTTTGCTCTATCACCTTTATTGGAAGAATGAGTACTCCTTGCATGAGAAGGAAATGGTCTCCCACCAAGTGATGTCCTTCCCTCCCACGTGGGTAACATGCTTCAGGGTTTTCCCATTCTGATGTTATAATTTTAGAAAGGATCTCATCTTTTTCATTTCCTTATCTACACTGACTGTCCACCATCTTATCAATGAAGAAAAATTTTTAATTATTCAACATTTATAATCATATGTTGGGCCTTCAGCTAGTTATTATATATTTGTCTTTGCTTTCTCTCGTAAGTTCTTAAAGTTACCCTACAATTTCTTTTTATAAAGTAACAAAATTTCATTAAGAATGAAATGTTATTTTTGTTTTGACTTACATGTGGGCCTTTTACTGCATCAAGTGCATAAAGTTTATTTTTATTATAAGATATATACTTGATTATATTTCAGTAATAATTTTCATGTTATCACAGTATTTTTTCGAGTAAATTATGAGTGATTTCTATAGTAACGTGTTTTTATCGACATACCTTGATATGTGTGTGATTGCAACATTTCATTGCTTGAATCAACCATAGAAGATATAATATTTTCATCATAATTCATGGTGGCACTAGAATATACATTACAAGTCATATATTATTCTCTTAATTCATAAACAATTATAGCATTTTCTATTGAATGAAACCCAAAATGCAAAGTAACTGATATAATTAATGATCTAAGTATTTATTCGGATTGCAATGCTGGAAAATATACTTTCATATTTGTTTATCATTTCACAATAATGGAAGGGGTGGGTTTGTATTGCTTGTCTAATGAAGTTATGAATTGAGTAAGACTAAACATTTGTTGAATCTCCAAATAAAATGAAAGTGAAAACAAACAGGTAAAACCTACCATATGTTTCAACACTAGCTAGCATCACACGCAGTAGTTGCTAAACATTGTGCATCAGTTTAGGTGATTATCCCTTTCCAAACCAGAGGGTTGTTACTGATATCCCTTGATTGTTTCTTTCTCACAGTGGAAATATTTAACCCAATGGCATGAAACTTAGACCAAATTTCTTATTAATATCTAGTTCCAACTTAAAGAAATTCATATAATGTGATTTAGTTTTCCTGTAATTGCTTTGTGCTGTAAAATTTCCACAATTTTATTGTAACACGTTGTTTTATCAAACATTTAAAATGTTACCTTTTGCTTTAGAATTTAATTTTTTTGTGTTTGTTAGAAAGTTCATTTTATGCACCCATCAGTTTTGAGTGGCATTCATTAACTTATTTGATACTTTATTTTGCCAAATGCTGAAGTCACCAATTACACTTATAAATTATAAAAAACTGACAAAAATTTATTGGTGACCTAATGCCTGACCTCAAAATGGAGAAAGGTCAGACTAGGTAATAATTGTTCTTCTAAAAGTATGCTTGGTCGAACTCAAATTATTTTTTAAAATAAATTTTAAGTTATTTTAATTGTACAATAAATTTAATATTCAATAAATAAGAACTTGAGTCACAGGAATATTTTGTCCTCACCTACCTTACTCTCTAAACCTAACTAGACTTACCTGATGTTTTTTTTTTACACAGGAAAATTCTCATAGTTTTCAGCAAATGTAAATTAACACTTTCATGGCATATGTGATTTCTCTAATTATGCAATAGGAATGTAAAGCCTCATTGTAAACTGTCTTAGATACTGCTAATTTTATGGCTTTATGTTATGTTTTATGACAGAATGACTGCATTGACAGCTTTCTTTTGAGTGCACCACTGATGGTACATGACATCCTATCTTTACCTATTTAAACTTTGGCCATCATGTGCCACCAATAGTGTACACTATGATTTAAATAATAATAATAATCAAATGATAAAAATATGTAAATTTTTTTTCAGAGTAATTTTGCAGTTTTTTTTAGAAGAATTAAAGTTTTCATAACAGTTTTTTTATTTATCAAAGAATCCTCAGTTAGTTTGTTTTTTTTTTTGTATTCAGTTAATCACAATGAAAAATTTTATGTAATTTTAAAATAAAGTGATTTAATCATGTAAATTTGTTTTGTTTCAGTAGTCCTTTCAACATGCCATTTGTGCTCCATCAGTGGTACATGATGGAAGGTGTGGCTTTATTGTAGCCATCCGTACAAAATATATGCTTTCATATAGGACTTTGGAGATATGAGGTGCAGTTATATGTTATGGGTGCTGTGTACCACGGATGGCTCATGATGTCCAACAGAAAACATGCAAATGTACCACTGGTGGCACACAATATTGTGCACAATGTTAACATATACATTTTCAAGAATTAAAAAAAAATATCTAAGGGAACTTGTACAGAATTTCCCATATAGGCTTTCCTGCTGTGATAAATGGATTTAGTATATTATGAGATGATCTGATTAAATCTGTAAAGGAATAAAAATCACTGAAACCAGATTTGAAAATACTGTTAGCTTTTAAATTTCCCATTAGATTTTGTTGCTCTTCTCTGCAGAAGCTAGGTTTTATTACTTTCCTACAAAACCACAGATTACTTCTCACACCTCTTTATTTGCACTACATTGATGTAAACAGTTTTTAATCTGTTTTCCCCCCATGGTACTTAAACTTTGGCTGAAGCTATTTTCAAAGCTGAGCTTCATTAGTAGTTGTTCACATCACATGATGGCAGGTTTTTAAAAAAAGTGTGAACAAGAAGCTGTACTACTAAAATCAGAGAATGAGAAGGAAATTCATCTGAGGAACAAAACCTTGAGAATATATTATTCTCATGGGATAATAGTTTCTTTGCAAATATACACCTGGAAAAAAGTTAAGCACCCCCGTT